AAGATGTGTGGATTCCACATCAGAGTATCTGGGCTTGATGTCCGGCCCTGGTTTGGGACTCTAGCTTCCTTGTTAATGCAGTCCCTGTGAAGCAGGAGTGATTGCACAAGTAATTGAAGCGCTGCTATTCATGTGGAAGACCTGGCCTCCCAACTTCACCCTCAGCCCACACCTGACCATCGCTGGCTTTGAGGAAATGAATCAGTGACTAGGAGCTCTTTCCATCTCTCTGTCTTTCGGTCACTCAAAATAAATTTTAAGTAAGTCTATTTAATGGAAAAGAATGTGAAATCCATAAATGGATTTTCATAATATTTTCTTTTAAACAATAATTTTATTTTTGATGGTGTTTACATAGTTGAGAGGGATATGTGCCCATGTGCACCACTGACTAGGATGGTAAGGGTCAAGAAATGGTGGACATTGGATGAAACAACTGTTTCCAGACTCCTTTTCTCTTCCTGTATTTAGGGATGTTGGGGAGAGAAAGAGAGAGGTCTGCTCCCTGAAGCCCAACTGTGTCAGTGCCCGGGGATAGAGGACGGCCACCTGATCTCATCCCAGGATCCCTGATGCGTCCCCACTTTCCATAATATTTATTTTCTATGAGGTTTTCAAAATTAGATTTATCTCTTTTATTCTTATTGGAAAGGCAGATATACAGAGAAAAGAAGAGATAGAGGGAAAGATCTTCCATGTGCTGATTCACTCCCCAAATGACTGCAACAACTGGAGCTGAGCCAACCCAAAGCCAGGAGCCAAGAACTTCTCCAGAGTTTCCCATACAAGTGCAAGGTCCCAAGGCTTTAGACCATCCTGCACTGCTCTCCCAGGCCACAAGAAGGGAGCTGGATGGGAAGTGAAACAGCCAGAACATGAACCAGAGCCCATAAGGGATCCCGGTTCTGGAAGAAGGAGGATTAACCAATTGTGCCATCATGTTGGGCCCTGCATGAACTTTTTAAAGTACCTGGCATGAAAAAATAATCAATGGCTAAACATGGGAAATTCTTTCTTGAAGATAATAAATCTGGTAGAAAGGTAGAGATGAAAAACATCTCTCTGACTTGAGACTCAGAGTTTTCCTGAAGGTAGCTCCGCGTGGCAGCCCTGGGATGCATCCTCTAGGATAATTAGGAGTTGAGTGGAGATCAAGGGTGGAGAACGTGTCTGAGAAAAGGGAAAAACTCTGTCTGACTGTGGTCTCCGTGCAGGAAAAGTCAGATATAGAGTTAAAAAAAAAAAAAAAAAAAACAGTCTGGCCAGATTGCAGAGGCCTGAGTATCAGGCCAAGGAATTCCTACTTTATTTTATACACCCTGGGGAGCCAGTCAAGGCTTGGAAAACAGGGTGACTTGGGTGAAGCTCTCACCCCCAGACCAGGTCCCTCTCTTCTCCATCCTGTCTATATAAAGGCAGCAGTCCGGGAGCCAAGGAGTCCAACTTTCAGCCAGGGCTCCCTCCTCCAGATCCACAGCTGCTCCAGGAAAGGTCATGGGAATTGAAAGATCCGAAGCAAGTCCCACATCTGATCCCCAGCTTGCTGTATGTCTCACTTTCCTCCTCTACACAAATGAGCCCATTACTCTTATTTGTCCGAGGAGCAGCTAAATCAGGAAAACAGAACTTGGATCTGTTCCTGCTTGCGGGGCAAGTCTCACGGGCTTTCCATTGCTATCCAGACGCCTTGTGGAACTCCGGAAGACAGAGAAAGAAGCTCAACTCTGAAGGGTGGGCGCCAATCCAGGCCCAGCCTCCTCCCTGCCCTCCCCATCCCCTCTTGCTCCCTCCCAAAGCAGGCAAGAGGAAGCAGCAGCTGTTGTCCCATGGGGAGCCCAGGCAGAGGTCCACCTGGCACAGTTTGGGTTGTCACCATGCCCATCCCAACTTAAATACACAGTCCCAGCCTGAGTTGTCAGTGGTTGGGCTCATAACAGGGCAATGGCCATGGACCAAGAAAAGGGCTGGGGTGGAGGCTACTCTTGTAAGGGTAGCCTTTAATGTCCCTTTATGTGTCCCACCATTTTGTTTTCTGCTGTTCCCCTCTGCTTCTCACTTTCCCTTCTGTAAGACTCCCTACCAATTCCTTGGCCTAAAGCCTGAATCCTTTTTCTCTCCCTAACCTGTTCTCTTTCCTCCATCTTTTCTCTTGTGACATAAATACTGTGAAGTAAATTCATAAGATTGTTCATCAAGGGCAAAATGAAACAGATCTTGCAAGCTGGATAATTTAGGCACAAACAAACAAACTCACCTTCCTGAACCAACTAATTGTGGCAAAAGCAAAGGTTTCGGCTTGAGTGATATAGCTGGTGTATCAATCCTTCAACTTTAATTCTCATATGCAGACTTAAACCTTTCCTCTCTTTTCCTTTTGACCTGGTTATAGGGCAATGCTTAATTCACTTTCACATAGTACTAAGGCAGCCTTCTGGAGAGCCCCACATAATAGAGTTGAAGACCAAACCGGGGTAATTATAATGACAGCAAAACACAAGAGCAGAGGGTAGTGTGAGTCGTGGTTTGGAAACATCTCACTCTAGGATAATGGGAAGTGGAAAAGAGACTGGGCTAGGAATTCAAATGAGCTCGCAGCCTCCTACCATCTCCTCCCACTCAGCCTCCATTCCAAGGGCTGGCCCCTAGGAATATGTCTTTGATCCACAGACCAAAACCATTGATTTTATCTGCAAACACTTGGGTTTCCATGGCAGCGGGCACAGAACACTACATCCATAAGTTCACCCTGCAATGATTAGCCACCTTAACAAAGAAGTGAGCTGTCCCGACTGCCAAGGCTTGGCGCCCTCTGGGAGCCTATCAACAGACTGAGGTCTGGGTGGACTTGTTCTTGGTTCTCTTTTGCCATCTAGTGGCATAGCCATTCTCCAACACCACTTTGTCTCCTAAAGACCTCTCAGCCTGACCTACAGAGATGCTCTCCGGTTTCAAAAACATTGTCCTTATCCACCACCCCTCCGTCCCAGCATTGGAAAACACTCCATCTTCCTGGCTTGAAATCCTAATGTCTAGGACAAAATACAGATGCTATGACCTAGATGGCTTATGTGACCTCTATAGTTGTTAACCCACACAACCACCAGGTGATTCTGTAAGCCGACAGTGCCTGCTTTCTCTGGAAAGGGCTTCCAGAAGGCCTCCAAGACTTCCCATTACTTGGCCTCCAGTCCTCTGCACTCCTCACTCACTTGTTCTAGTGTTATCAGGTCCCTGCTTGTTCATTTTCTTCCTTCCTTTCTTTCTTTCTTTCTTCCTTTCTTTCTTTCTTTCTTTCTTTCTTTCTTTCTTTCTTTCTCTTCTTTCTTTCTTTCTTTCTTTCTTTCTTTCTTTCTTCCTTTCTTTCTTTCTCTAGTTCTTTCTCTTTCTTTCTTTTTATCATACAATTCTGTATAGTCTGGGATTCCCCTCCCACCGAGGTGTCTGCTCTTTCTTCAAAGCCTCAGGCACCTTGAGCTCTGTGGATTTTGCAGTCCTGTTCTCTACAGCAAGAACCTTCTTCTTCCTTCAAATACACCTTCCCTCTCCCACCTTTGAGCCTCTGTCCCAGAATCTCCTACCTAAATAACTCGACTTTAGAATCAGTTTCCTGGCCCAGTGCAATAATCTAGTGGCTAATGACCTCACTTTATGTGTGCCGAGATTCCACTTGGGCATCGGTTCTAAATCCAGCTGCTCTACTCCCCATCCAGCCCCGTTTGTGGCCTGAGAAAACAGGACCCTGTATCCATGTGGAACACCCAGGAGCAGCTCAGCTTGGGTCGTTGGGACCACTTGGGGAGTAAACCAGAGGATGGAAGATCTTTCCTCCCTATCTCTCTTTCTCTCTGTAAAATCTGATTTTCCAATAAAAATAAATAAATCTTTTTTTAAAAAATCACTTCCCACCAACCCTCTCCTGTTCTGCTTTCTTCCTTAGCAAGTCACTCACGGTTTTTTGTTATTGGTGGTAGTGTTTGCTTGCTTGTTTATTTTAACTGTCTTGACCCAATGGAATGTAATTTCAACAAAGGTAAGAATTTTGTCTCGCTGGTTCACCTAAATCCCTTGGTACATAGTAGGTGCTCAATATATATGTGTTAACTACATGGCAGAAGCAGAATCTAAGATTCTGAAGTCACCTAACAGATTCTGAAAACAAAAACCCAGTTTATCTCAGGTTTCCAGGTTTTTCCACACAGAGGCGAGGATGCTCCTGTGCCTCAGTGTCTCTCATCCCCCAAGTGTCACATTTCAAGTTCACAGGAGCCCCCAGCACGATATTGGCTCAGTCTGTTCCCTGCCTCCAGGTACAGGCTACACCGAGTAGGGAAGGGCTGAGACAGGAGGTAGAGAGCAACAACATCAACATCATTGAAAAACAACTACTTGGACAATGGTTGACTTTTGTAACTTTCAATAAAGCATGGAGGGAAGTAGTATGGATGAGGGTGTTGAGTGCCTTCTGTAGGTGAAGCCAGGTGGCCTCAGCACCTGGAACTGGAGCTGCCCAGGCGGCTGAATCACCTTGGTCTGGCTGAGCTGGTGAGCATTATGACAGTGATGATTCACCCACTTCATTGTCTCTGTCTCCTCCAAAAGATAAACAGTGTCACTGGGTGACAGTAAACCAAAGCAATTTTCTAGGCTATTCTATCTAGAGTACCTCAGGTAAGAAAAAAAGCCAACTCTTAGCATCACAGTGACTGGCCTAGAACAGAGGTGTGGATGGGAGAAAATAAAAGACAACCTCTTTCCTGAAATTCATTTGGGTTGATACCTGTGCCAGGTGTTTTATTAAAGAGTCATTAATCACCATATGCCAGGGGGCAAATGCAGTATAGTCTTTGAATGCTAGTATTCACACTTCCTCATTGCTGAACACATTCAGGAAGGCCCCATAGCTCCATAGGTATCCATTTACTTGGAACATGTGAATGGAAAGGCTCGAACCTGATTCACTTCCTCATACAGAAACTGTGCTTCAACCCGCCCCCAGATAGAAGCGGCAGAACCCAGACCATCACAAAAGGAGTTAGGCAGTGAGAAGAGCCCTTCAGAGACCTTAACATCCAGAAACATTGGATGGACAGCAGGTGCAGCACCAGGACAAAAAGGTGAGTTTAACAACAGAACTTATTTTCTGTTTTCTGTTGTTGTTATTGCTGTTCTTTTAAAATAAACATTTATTTCATTTTAAGGCAAAGTTCCAGAGAGAAAGAGGGAGAGATAAAGATTTTCCAGCCACTGATTCTCTCAAGTGACTACAGTGGTCTAGGTTGAGCAAGATTGAATCCAAGATCCAGGAGCTTCATCTGGGTTTCCCAAGTCGGTGTGGGACCCAAGGATTTGGGCCCTCTCTTTCTGCTTTCTCAAGTACATTGGTGGGGAGCTGAACTGGAAGTGGAGCAACCCATTGCAGTCAGTGGCTTGATTTGCTAAGCCACAATCCAAACCCCTTACAACAGGATTTGATGAGAAGACATGGGGATGGGTTCTGGCTATTAAGAATACACTCGGCTAAGTAGTGAAGTGGAAAAAAAGAGCCCCTCTTGGGGCGGGGAGTGAGGAGTGGATAAGGACACATTTTGGGGAGAGAGGAGTGAGGAAGAGAGGAAAGTAATGTTGGGAACAGAGGTACAAAGTGGGAAAGCATGGAACATGGCAGAGATGGGAAAGGGGACAGGGAAAAGATGAGACATAGACAAAGGTACGTGGCAGCACAAAAGGGCTGGGAGCTGAGGCAGAGGAGGAGAACGAAGACTGAAAGGCAGTAGAGATAGAATTAAGGGAGTCAGGGATACAAAGTGGGGGAATCAGAGGGTCACAGGGCGAGGAGTTGGGGTGGTAGTTGTAAGCATACAGAGGGAGAAGAGATGCAGCACAGAGAGGAAAGGAGCTAGACATAGAGAGCAGGGATATAAAGGGTGATTTCTCGGGCCCGGCGCGGTGGCGCAAGTGGTTAAAGTCCTCGCCTTGCACCCCTGGGATCCCATATGGGCACCGGTTCTAATCCCGGCAGCCCCGCTTCCCTTCCAGCTCCCTGCCTGTGGCCTGGGAAAGCAGTCGAGGACGGCCCAAAGCTTTGGGAACCTGCACCCGCGTGGGAGACCCGGAAGAGGCTCCTGGCTTCGGATCGGCATAGCATCGACCCGTTGCGCTCACTTGGGGAGTGAATCATCGGACGGAAGATCTTCCTCTCTGTCTCTCCTCTCTGTATATCCGCCTTTCCAATGAAAAAATAATAAAAATAAATCTTTAAAAAAATAATAATAAAATAAAAAAAAATAAAGGGTGATTTCTCAATTGAATCCCTCTGCTCTCTGTCCCAGCAACCCCAGCTCTCCATTCTCACTGCTGGTCCCAAGAGAGATGACACCAGCCCAAGTAGGATTCTGCCCCCTGCTGCTGCTCCTGCTACTAGGACTGTGGCTGTCCCTTAGCACAGTCAGTGCCAAGCCCAAGAACATGACCTCAGCTAAGTGGTTCGAAACACAGCATGTGCAACCCCACCCTCAACCATGTAGTTCAGCAATGCCCCAGGTCAACTACTACAAAAGACACTGCAAAAACCTCAACACCTTCCTGCACCAGTCCTTGTCCAGTGTGATCCCCACCTGTGACACCTGCAACAGAACCTGCAAGAATGGCCATGGAAACTGCCACAAGAGCCCAGAACCCGTGCCCATGACCATGTGTCAGCTGGTCTCAGGCTTGTACCCGAACTGCAAGTACACAGAGGAGCACCTGACAAAATCTTACATAGTGGCTTGCGACCCTCCCCGGCAAGGTGACCCTCAACAGTACAAGCTGGTGCCCGTGCATCTGGATAGGGTCCTTTAGGCTTCCAGATCTCCTCACTCTGAGCCTTCATTTCCTCAACTTACCTCTGCACTGCTATTCCTACACTCAGAGTACACTCAGAGCTTTTTTTTTTTTTTTTTTTTTGCTCATCTCCTGGGAATATTCCTGGTTCCGAGGTAGGATGGGAGGACATGGGAGCAGAGTTTGAGGTCACTGCTTAGGTCAACTGAGCTCCAGCCAGCTCATCTTTTTGTTGTTGTTTCAGTGTTCCCAGAAGCTTCTCCCCCTTCCCCATCCTCCATTCCCCTAGAGGGACTGAGGCAGCTCAAGAGTGCAGGGTCCCTGGGAATGAGGTGGGGATGCATTTTATGCACCATTCCCTTGTCCTGTCTTACCATGGCAGCACAACAAGGGGAGGAAAGATATGTGTGGGCCTTAAGGACAGAACTGTTCTTGTTTCTAAACCAGAAATCTTGTCCCGCTCTGACATGTTGGGGAGGTAACCTGTGTGGGAAGAGGTGGACGGAACGAAGAAGGAAAACAAAGAAATACTGCTTTGTATTTACGTAGCACTTCATGCTCTTTTTGAGTCCTCTAATCCCTTGCGAGCCAGAATTGACAGGGATTACTGGTTTTTCCTCTGAGAAAAGGAACTGAGATTTCAGAAAGCTCAATAAGGAAAGAGCTTGTTCGATTGGCCAGTAGGCAGAACTACTAACTCCACATACAGTGCAATTTCTACAATACCAGTGGAGCAGGAAAGGAGACCACTGCAGGGACAAGAGAACTAGGTGAGAGTTCACCCGTAAAGAAAGGCACCCTCAGAGCTCAGTGAAGGCCATGACCTCGCTGACCAAGAGACATTTTATGAGGTGTTCCAGTATCTCCACTCCCTCCGCTCATCTCACACCCACCCCACCTGCTTCTCCCACTTCTCCAGCCCAGTGCAATTCTAGCCCAGGCCCAGGCCTGGCTCTGGCTTTATCCCCTGGGCCTGAAGGCACAGGGTCAGGGGAGTGTCCCAACTTCATCCCCCATTCCAGGATCACATTTCCCTTGACCTTAAGGGACTTCCGTGGCCCTGAGCCTGCCTGTCACAAACAGGCTGGTGGGAGCTGCCTGCCAGGGCTTCCTTCCTCCTGATAACCATCTCCTCTCCCCCAGTGCTTCCCTGGCTCTCTGCACTGGCAGGCTGCCCAGGGCCTGAGGGGTGGGGAGGTGGAAATGCCATCTCCCTGTGCCCCTGCTGCAGATGCTACTTCTGCCTCTCCGGTAAGCGAGTTTGGGGAGATCATGGTCACATCTCAGTGGAGTGCTGAGCCCCTCCTCCACAGTGCCCTATCACCAACCTTTCCCTCTTTCTTTTACCTGAGCCCCAAACCATAAGACACCCTGCGCCCACCCGACTTCAGATTCAGCTACACTGTCAGATGTCTCCTCCTGTCATGGATTCTATGTGTCCTTCCCCACCAACTGTGGTGTTCCTGAACTCCATCAACATCAGTGCACCTTCTGGAACCAAACAGAACTGGCTGCAAATCCTGGCTCAGTCTTTCCTGGCTAAATGACTGACCTCGGGCCTAGCGCAGTGGCCTAGTGACTAAAGTCCTTGAACGCACCAGAATTCCATATGGGTGCTGGTTCTAATCCCGGCAGCCCTGCCTGTGGCCTGGGAAAGCAGTCGAAGTGGCCCAAAGCCTTGGGACCCTGCACCTGTGTGGGAGACCTGGAGGAAGTTCCTGGCTCCCGGCTTCAGATCAGCTCAGCTCTGGCTGTTGCGGTCACTTGCAGAGTGAATCAACAGACAGAAGATTTTCCTCTGTCTCTCCTCCTCTATATATATCTGATATTACAATAAAAATTAATAAATCTTTTTTTAAAAAATGACTGACCTCCTCCATGAGTCTGTTTGCAGATGCAAAAGGGATATACCTACAGCCCAGGATTGTAGAAATATCTAGAAACCACATTTATGAAATTCTATTCAGTTCCAGCTCCCAGCAGGCACTCCACAGATAAAGTAGTAGTGGCAGTGGTGGTGACGGTGGTATTACTAGTGGTGATAATACTGCCTTTGGAAAAGCCAAGAGGCCAAGGTGAATACCCCAGGTACATCTTCCCAGTGAGTTTCAGAGTAATGTTCTTGCATGGGTTAGAAAACAAAGATGCAGGCAGAGTCCTGCCAGGTGAGGCACATGGTTCAAGACGTTGAACAGAGAATGAGTAGGCAAAGAATAATTCAAAGAAAGAAGAGGATTCCGACAGAGCATAGAGCCAACAGGTTGATAAGTTGGCAGTCCCCAGAGGCTTAAAAGTAGAGGAACAGTAAATATACATTGTGATCACATGCCAGATGACTGACCATGACCATCAGTGTAGCATAGTCATTGTAATTGGCCTTCTGTGATACGCAAATAAATCTGAAGCTTTGGCCAAAACCTTCATTAGTTTTGAGATTCTCTGTTTGCTGTACTCAAAGATGCTGCTGTTCTCAAAGATGATGGTTTTCAACTTGGTACATAGAAGAGCAAGATATTGGGGGAAGAAGCTTTTGCTTTCCGTTCTTTGCTGGCAACTTTTATATTCATGAATGATTTTTTTTTAGATGATGTTTGCATAGTTGATCAGGGTGGAAAGGATCAAGGATCAGGGGAAAGTGGGTGAGACCATTGTTTACACATTTTCTTTTTCTTCTTCCTGTATCTGGTAGAGGGAGGATGCCAAGGGAGAAACTACGCTCAGCCTCCCAATCACCTCAGTACCCAAGGGTGGGGAACGGCCACCCAATGTCAACCCAGGACCCCCAATATGGAGCATGTTCTGAGGGTTATACTCAAGTGGCTTCAATAATTCTGAGATGCTGTTCCAAGGTCAATTGGCTGGCACAGTCTACCTCAGAGTCTCCACAAGAATGATTTTTCTTATGAATACTAATGTTTTGGAGAGGACCTCCTCACAAAATTCTAAGGTGATTGAAGTTATGCCTTTAATGCATCCTCCTAAAATAAGAACTTAAACAGATTTTTTTTTCTTGGCACTAGCATTGTGGTATAACAGGTTAAAATGATGACATTCCATATCCAAGTACCAGTTCTGGTCCCAGCATCTCCGCTTACAATTAAACTCCCTGTAAATGTACATAAGAAATCAGCAGAAGATGGCAGAACTGCTTGAAACCCTTGCCATCCTTGTGCCTGGCTTCATCCTGGCCTGGCCTAGCCCCTAATGGTGGGGCCATTTAGGGAATGAACCAGCAGATGAAAAACCTCTCTCTGTCTCTCCCTCTCTCAGTGTCATTATGTGATTTACATAAATTAAAGCTGCTCTCTTTTATTAATCTTTCTTGAAAGATTTGTGACCTAAATAACATTAGATAAGTAAAAAGTTCTAAAGTAATCTGTAGTAACAGGAGTCAGGACAGAAGTAGCCTCAGGGAGGTACTGACTGACAAGGACCTAGGGGAGACTTTGGGGGAGCTGGGTATTACCTACTTTTGGTCAGATGTGTTTAATATGTGAAAACTCCTTGCAATGTAAACTTCAATTTGTGTATTTTATATGAGTTATGCCTCAACTTTTAGTAAGTTTTTTTTGTTTTATTTTATTTGAAAGAGTTATACTGAAGTAAGGAGAGATAAGAGATCTTCTACCTGCTGGTTCACTCCCAAAAAGACCATAACAGCCAGGGCTAGACCAAGCTCCAGAAACCAGGAACTTCTTCTAAGTCTCCCGTATGGGTACAGGGGCTCAAGGACTTGAACCAACTTCCACTGCTCTCCCAGGCACATGAGCAGGTAGCTAGATTGGAAGTGATGCAGCCAGTGTCCACACAGATAATAGCACCGAAAGCAGTGATTTAAGCGGCTGCATCACAGTGCTGGCCCCTATGTAATCTAATTTATATTCTGCCTTGTACTTATTGTTAATGGTACTTGCATTATGAAGTCATTATAAGTATTGTAGGCTTAAAAATTACAGATAATGTTCTTCTTAGCGTTATTTAGCTAACACATTTTCCTATTGTTTATATTACCTTCCCAATTTTTAACTAAATGAAAATTCTTAAGAATTATTTTAATTGTAATAAATTTTCACAACCATTCATTATTTCAGCATTTTTCTTAAAATAGTAAACACTAAATTTAAATATCCCTGATTGGGCCCAGTTTGTTGGGGAGGGAGTACGATGCTATAGCCTAGTGGCTAAATCCTCACATTACATGTGCCGGGATCCCATGTGGGTGCCAGTTCTTGTCCAGGCTGCTCCACTTTCCATCCAGCTCCCTGTTTGTGACCCAGCGAAGCAGTAGAAAATTACCCAAAGCCTTGGGACCCTGCACCCCCATGGGAGACTCAGAAGAAGTTCCTGGCTTCAGATTGGTTCAGCTTCAGCTGTTATGACCATTTGGGGAGTGAAACAGTGGACAGAAGATCTTTCTCTCTGTCTCTCCTTCTCTCTGTATACCTGCCTTTCCAATAAAATAAATAAGTAAAATCTTTTTTTAAAATCTGTCAGTTGGTAGAATTTTAACTTTTTTAAGGTTCATAAAGAAAATTTCACTCTGTGTTACATGCAGAATACTCATTCTGGTATTAACAGTGAATCCGAATGATTAGATTGTTCTCATCACTAATGCTTCAACTCATTAGCTCTGACAGTAACCCTTCCCTTTACAGGATCTTGATGACAGCCAAGTTTAGGGATGCCAAGAATAATGTTGAAATAGACATCTGGTTATTCAAAATCCAAATCCAAGGTGTAGGATAATAATAACTTAGACCAAATGTTAAAGCTGCCTGAGCCTTAATGCAGCCTTACTTGAAAGTTGAAGAATGTGGGCCCAGTGCAGTGGCCTAGAGGCTAAAGTCCTCACCTTGAACACACTGAGATCCCATGTGGGCACTGTTTCTGATCCTGGCAGCTTCGTTTCCCATCCAGCTCCCTGCTTGTGGCCTGGGAAAGCAGTCGAAGGCAGTCCAAGCACTCACATGGGATCCTGCACTCGCTTGGGAGACCTGGAGGAGGTTCCTGGCTTCTGGCTTCGGATCAGAACAGCACCACATTATGGTCACTTGGGGAGTGAATCATCGGACGGAGGATCTTCCTCTCTGTCTCTTCTCTGTATATCTGACTCTGCAATAAAAATCTTAAAAAAAAAAAAAAAAAACAAGTTGAAGAATGTGAATCAAGTTAAGCCTAGAGAAGGAAATCTAGTCTCCAGGAAAGAATTGCCCAGCCCTATTCAAGAGAATTCTAGCAGCCTGGATCAGGATCCCATTAGAGAAAAGCAAACCAAGAGCTGGAGCAAGGATGAGGACATCAGAGACAGATTAGGTGGGAGACTTCACTATATAACCCTGGTGCACAGAAAACTCCATAATACCCAAATGAATGGGCCATAATTAAGAAGAGAGTGGGAGAAATCAATGAAGAGAAGGGTCTTGAACACAGGAGTCAAGGGTAGGAAAAGGAAATGCCTTTGAGGCCAAGGAGTCTGCTTTTCACCTTGGCCTACTTCATAGAGTGGATGCTCCAGGGGATAACCTTAGAGCAAGCAGCTAAACCACACCAGCAGCCAGGGAGTCTTCTCTCTGGGGACAGCCTACATCCCTTTCGTCATGTTTCCTCTGTGCTCCTGCACAAATAAGTGAACTCTTAAGTCTTTTCAAACTCATACACTCATTTTAATGCCACCCTGCTACCCCACCTAACCATGGAGTGGGGAAAGAGGTGTAATTACAGCTCTTAAAGCTCGGTTCACCTGCATGAGACCCCACGGCAGTAACCTAACAGTAGATTATGGAGTCACAAGGAGTATGATGAGAATGTCCATGTTGCTACTGAGGGCCCGACACCGTAGCGTAATGGCTAAAGTCCTTGCCTTGCATCCACCAGGATCCCAAATGGGTACCAGTTCATATCCCAGTTGCTCCTCTTCCCATCCAGCTCCCTGCTTCTGACATGGGAGGGCTGTCGAAAATGGCTCAAAGCCTTGGGACCCTGCACCTGCATGGGAGACCTGGAGGAAGCTCCTGACTCCTAGATTTGGGAAGTAAATCAGTGGACGCAAGATCTTTCTGTAGAACTCTGCCTTTCCAATAAAAATAAATACATCTTTTTTAAAAAGAAAGAGGAAATATTGTAATAGAAAAGTCTCTTAACTAGGGAGGTAAGAAGTTCCTCTTCTATTCAGAGGCTCCTACTTCATAGAAGTATTATACATGGATTAATGTGACAATACTTAGAAAGCACTTAATTCCATGACTGGCATGTAGGGGAAGTTTGAAGTATTAGCATTTATATTTATTACTGACATGTCAAATGTTGAGCGGCCCAAACTGTGATGAATGGAGCAGGCCTGACTTCCGTGGCAAAAGAACAAAGATTTAAACAAAGGAAGCCAAATTCCTCCTCATCCTCCTTGTGCCAATAAGGCTCCTTCCTAGCCAAGAGTAGATAAGGTTAGGTTCAAGGTCAGGTAAAAAAAAAAAGACCATATTTATTCATTTCTCTGGGTTAGGTCATTTGCAATAGGGAGATGGAGAAGGGTAAATGCTATCAACAGGAAGAACAACTAAAAAAAAATAGGTTCAAGGAATTTCTAAGCTAGTGTTACTTCAGCTTTTCTTATCTCTGTCCTCCATAAATCCATGAATC